TCTTTTCTTTTCTTTTTGCTAGCTCCCATGGAGTCTAGTTTCCCTACATCCTGTTTATTTTTTGTGCTGGACCTTGTACTGGAAAAGTTGTAGGAATAATTTGAGGCCTGCAATGAAAGTACTTTGCTCTAGAGAAGATTTGCATTTGCTTCTATTAGGCCCTGAAAGACACTACAAGTCCAGAACCAGATTAAAGCAAATTTTCAAGGGTGGGGATTCCTGGATAATTCAAGCTGACCTTTAATTTTGTATAGGCTGTTCCACTTCTGGTTCACCTTCACCCTGAGGGTGAAGCTCATTGGAGTCTCAACTTATTGTGAGGAGGGTCTCCAGTTAGACTCCCCAATTTATGTGGGCCATGGCCTTTGATTTCTGTTTATTTGCCCTTGAAAGGCAGTCACAACAATGGTTTTAATTTTCTAGGGTAAGCAGATACCCACAGGGCAAAAGCAGCTGTCTACCATGCTTGCTAACCTGGCTAGGCTCTCATTTTTCCTTTACTTTGGCCTAGTAATTCCATACCTTCTTGTTACCTCCTTGATGCTTTGTATATATATTTTTTTTAATATTTTATCCAATTTGTTTGTTTTTGTTCAGCAGGAGAGTTAATCTGAATAACTTAATCTGCCAGTACTAGAAACATGAAGATCTACTCCCCCTCTTTTTATACTCTGAAATAGTTTGTAAGGTTGGAATGAATATGTTTCTTGAATATTTGATATTTGACTATGATTTTGCTTCTTTAATGTTTATGGAAATATTTAGGCTTTCCATTTCTTCTTGAACTATTTTTGGTGTGCTCATACTTTCTATATGTATATAAATAGCATCTTCTCTCATGATGTCATATCTCTGAAACTCTCTTTTTAAAACCATCTTACTTATAGTTTAATTGAGTATATTTTCAGAGAATTAACTTTTGACTTTGTTGATTTTTTTTTCTATTTTATTAATGTCTGTACTTTATTTCATTCTTTATATTTTCTTTGGCTTTATTCTGTTGTTCTTTTTAAAATATTCTTAAGATGGATGCTTGCTTATTAATTTTCAGCCTTCTTTTCTAAATTTCTCTGTAAGTATCAATTTAAGTGTATCCTACAACTTATCCTATGTGGTATTTTCCTTATTGTTTGGTTCTGAATAATATTCAGAGTTTTATATGATTACTTTTTGGCCTCCTGGGTTATTTCCAAACATACAGGGTTTTTCTAATTATATTTTTATTGTTGACTTATAGCTTAACTGTTTGTGATTAGAGAGTGTGGTCTTTTAAAAAATTACTTATTTGTGTATATTCTACCTGATGTTTTGTTTTGAAGTATTTCAATCTTAAAGAAATATTGCATGAACAGTATAATGAATACACTTAGCTTCATCAGTTGATGTTTTGCTACATTTGTCTGCACCTCCCTCCCTCTCCCTCTTCTCTCTCTCCCCCCACCCCCCATCATTTGAGAGTTTCTTGTGGACATCGTGAAAGAATGTGCTATTTTTATTATTTAAATTCTTTGAAATTTTTTGAGATTTATTTTGTTTTAATATGTGGTCAGTTTTTCTAAATGTTTCGTGTGTGCATGAAAATATGTATTTTGTAGTTGTTGGGTGCAGCTTTGTATATGTATCTGGTTTGTTAATTGTGCTGGGTTTTTTTTTTTTTTTGGTAAGGAAGATCAACCCTGAGCTAACATCCATGCCAATCCTCCTCTTTTTGCTGAGGAAGACTGGCCCTGGGCTAACATCTGTGCCCATCTTCCTCCACTTTATATGGGATGCCGCCACAGCATGGCCTGACGAGCGGTGCCTCGGTGCGCGCCCGGGATCCGAACCCGGGCTGCCAGCAGCGAAACACGAGCACTTAACCACTACATCACTGGGGCAGCCCCCTTAATTGTGCTGTTTAAATCATTATATCCTTATTGATTTTTTTTCTGTTAAAGTGTCACTGAGTGTGGATTTGTCTGTTTATCCTGTAGTATGTCAATTTTTGCTTTATACATTTTGAGGCTATGTTATTAGATGCATATAAATTTTTAAATTGCTATATCTTTCCTGGTAAATTGAATGTTTTATCCTTATGAGGTGACTCTTTATCTCTTATAAGGCTTCTTGCCTAAGAGTATATTTTTACCTAATATTAAAAGAGCTATACCAGCCTTTTTCTTTTTTCAAATAGTTTGCCTGACATATTTTTCTAACCTTTTTACTTTCAGCCTTTATATATTTGCCTTTTAGCTGGAGCATTAAGTTCATTTACATTTATTTATTCATAGTTGGATCTACATCTTAACTTTATATCTTATTTTGTCTTGCCTATTCAGTGTTTATTTTCCTCTTCTTTCTTGTCATCTTTTAGATTCTTTTTTTTTTTAATTCATTTTCTTTGTCAGCAAGTTTTGAAGTCAAAAACTCAGTTTCTGTTTGTTTGTTTAGGGGTTACTTTAGAAATTATAACTTAAATTATCAAAGTTAACTTATCAGAGGTAAATATCAAAGACAAAGATAGAAACCATCAATTCTACATGGATGGATCAAGGTAGACTTCCCAGAGAACTTTTAAAAATATTTTTAAGATATAAAAGTTATCTGTAATACAAGTTCAAGTAATACAGAAATAAAAAGTATTAGTTACCCTCTCTTATCACACCACTTTGTGTGTGTCCTTTCAGAACCTTTTCATATATGAGTTTATGGGTTGGTGCTTAAAAAAATATGAACATGCTCTGCATTCACTGCAACTTATTTTACCTCATAGTATATCATAGACATCTTTCCATATCAATACACATAGATGTACATCATTATTTTTGAGGATTATATAATATTGCAATGAATGGATGAATCATAGTTTACTTAAGCATTTTCCTTTTGATGAGAAATTTACACAGATACCAATTTTTCACTATTAAAAACAGTGCTGCAGTGAACATCACTGTACATAAATCTTTGGCACCCTTCTGTAGGATAGATTCCTTAAAGTGGAATTGCTGGCTCAAAGGGACTACGTATTAAATTTTTTAATTAAAAGAACTTAGAGGGGGCCGGCCCCGTGGCTTAGCAGTTAAGTGCGCGCGCTTTGCTACTGGTGGCCCAGGTTCAGATCCCAGGCGCATACCGACACACCGCTTGTCCGGCCATGCTGAGGCAGCGTCCCACATACGGCAACTAGCAGGATGTGCAGCTATGACATACAACTATCTACTGGGGCTTTGGGGAGAAAAAGGGAAAACAAAAAAAAAAGAGGAGGAAGATTGGCAATAGATGTTAGCTCAGGGCTGGTCTTCCTCAGCAAAAAGAGGAGGATTGACATGGATATTAGCTCAGGGCTGATCTTCCTCACAAAAAAAAAAAAAAGAATTTAGGTAATGAGATATCTAGAGCAGTCAAAATCTTGGAAACAGAAAGGAGAATTGTGCTTACCAGGGGCTAGAGGGAGGGGGAAATGGGAAGTTGTTGTTCAATGGGTATAGGGTTTCAGTTTTGCAAGATGAAGACATTCTAGAGATCTGCACAAGGATGTGAATATAGTTAACACTACTCAACTGTACACTTAAAAATGGTTAAGAGGGTAAATTTTATATGATGTGCTTTTTACCACAATTTAAAAAAAATTAACAAAAAAAGAATTTACGTAACTGCAAGGAGTTTGGTATGATTGGAACCTATTTGGGAGAGGTGAGGTAGATTGGTGGTGGGAGATCAGAAAGGGCCTTGTAAGCCATTTTAAGCAGCCAGAACTTTAGGCAGTGGGGACATTAGAATGGTTTCAAACAAGGGAATAAATTGAGCATATTTGTATTTTAGAATATTCACCCAAGCATGAAGTGGAGGATCTATTGGAGCCAAAATAAGAGAAGGTGGAGGGTAGAATAGAGGCAGGGAGATCAGTTAGATTTGAAATAATATTGAATTAATGTAGAAGTGAGTGGAGGGGTAAATTAGAGAGAAGTTAAGGAAGTAGAATGGAATGAAGGGGTAAAGAAGTAGGAGGAGTCAATTTGAACTCTAGGTTTCAAGTGGAGAGTGGTGCCATTAACTAAGGCAAGAAATAGAATAGGAAGAGAAGGGTTGAGGGTAAAAAACCAAATGAGCTCAGTTTTGGATGTGTTCTATTTGAAATGTATCCAAACAGAGCTGTTCAGTAGGTTACTGGGTATATGGGCTTAAAGTGTGAAAGAAAGGTCTAGGCTAAAGAGAGAGATTTAGAAAGTGTTTTAAGGTATAAACGGTAGCAAAGAACGTGGCCTAAATGCCAAGTGTTTATTATACACGTGTAAAAGCATCAGTGACCAGAATGTTAGTAAATGGTCAAAAAGTGGCCTGAGGACAGATCTCAGGAAACCTTCAACCTTTCTGGGCAGTTGGAGGAAGCACAATCAGCTGGGACTGGGGAACAGTCACACGGAGTGAGATGCGGAGCTGGTGGCGTCCTGGGAGCTAAGGGGAAAATGGTTTTAGAAGGAAGGATTGACGTAGGTGGCAGATGTTACAGTGAGATCACATAATTATCTATTGGAGTTAGACATTAAGTTCTTTGCCATGAAGTACTATAAATGGAAATCAGATTTCAGTGAGTTGAAGAAGGAATATGAAGTCAGAAAATGGAGACAGCGATATAGACTGATTCTGCTTTAGGAGGAAGGGACACTGACATTTATTGAATGCTTACTGGCTTCAGATACTGCAGGAAGAATACTGCATGTGTTATCTCAGACGGATATAGCAGATTTGATTGTTCTACCTAATTTCTTTTGGTTAAAAAAATCTATTTCTTTTGTCCAAAGTTGTTTTCACTTTTGTGTATGAATAAGATGTGAATACTTCATGGTTTAATAAGGAAAGGGAACCGCTTCACTCCTGTGACAAAATTCTTGTTTTTCATCCCTTAGGCGTATGAGGGGGAGTGTTGGTACGTGGGTTTTTGGTCTACATTATATCCTCCATCCTCTTCAGAGCCCCAACAGAATGGAGCTGACTATTACCCCTTTTTCCTTCACTCCCAGGCCCGGTATGAAAGCCAGCGGATCCAGATGGAATCTGAGCTGGCTATGCAGCTAGAGCAGCGGGTGACAGAGCAGCTGGCACAGGCTCAGGAGAGCAGCCTGCGGCAAGCAGCCTCCCTGAGGGAACATCACAGGTACTGGGGACTTCCTGGGTGCTGCTTCTCCCCAGCCACAGCAGGTGGTGTTAGTGCCCTGCCCATGTCCTCTCGGATGCTTTGACCATTTTCCAACACGCTGGCTCCTGTCAGCCGGGACTCGAGGCTCTCTGCAGGAGAGCTGCCTGCAGGTGCACAGGAAGAGCCAGAGTGCTGGGGAATTTTCATCCCATAGGGAGTAGCCCTTAACCAATAACTGATGGGTGCAGGAATATAAATTTCCCAGCTCCCTTGCCCCTGCTGGGGCAAGAGCTGCCCTGTGGGACTGGGCCTCCTTCCCATCTCAGGCTCACTTTTCCTCACCCCTCTCCCCCACCAGTTTTTTCTTGAAACACTTCATAAGTGAATCACTTGCCCATAAATCCTCATCTCAACCTCTGCTTCTGGGGAACCCATCCTGAGACACCAGCTTTGTGCTTACCACTTTCCTGACCCGACCTGTGCCGTGGCCAGGCTGGCTGCCTGTCTCACTCACACATGCACACCCTCTGACTTTGTCTCATTTGTTTACTTCTGTATCCAGAGTCAGTCCTCTTTTCTCACCCGTGTCCTCTTAGGAAGCAGCTGCAGGACCTAAATGAAGAGCACCAGCAGGAGTTGTCCACTCACTTGGCTCAGTTCAAGGTGGAAATGGCAGAACGAGAGGAAAGGCAGCAGCAGGTGGCTCAGGACTATGAGCTCAGGTACCGGTCCCTGGAGCATCCCTTTTAGGCCTCAGTCCCTTTCCTGTGCGTAGAGCCCAAACTGGGAATGGTGAAAAGTTGCTCCCTCCATAGATCTGTCTTCTTTTACATTGGCCCTAGGTCTTTTCAGAATTTCAGATGTCTGACATGCCATTCTGGCTCTTCTTATTCTCCAAGTCTCTGCTTCCTCAGAGGCCCTGCGTCAACTCTCCCGTCTCTTCTTCAGACTGGCCCGGGAGCACGCGCGCGTGCGGGAACTGCAGAGCAGGAGCCGGCAGCTGGAGGAACAGCAGCTGGAGCTGGTCGAGCGGCTCCAAGCCATGCTGCAGGCCCACTGGGAGGAGGCAAACCAGCTGCTCAGCACCACCACCCTGCCTCCTAACCCCCCAGTAGGTGTTGCCCCTGGAGCTAAGCTGCTCTGAGTTGTTGTGTTTAGGTCCCTTCTTTGGAAATCTAGCTCCCTCCTGAGAGAAATCCTAAGTTCAGGTCCTAGGACCTGTATTAGGAAAAAGAAAATCTGTGGACTTTCCCAAAGAATAACTGTCTCATCAAAAGAAATCTTTTTCTCCATGGCCATAGCTCACCCACTCTAGCCCCAGTGCATTGGGCTTGACTCTCTTCTCCCAGCCCAAGAGGTAGTAAGGCATACAGCATGGTACTAATTTTGCCAAATGGCAGCTGAATTAATTATGATGGTAAGAGCCAAAAATTGTTGCCAAGTCCTGCCCTAGAGTAGAGTTGAGAGTCTCATCCAGCGCTTTTACGTTGGCATGTCCTACTTCCTTCTTTTAATTATGAAATCTTTATTATTAGCTAAAATATTTTTCGGAATAGATAATAATATGCACATGGTAAAAAAAATGCAAACAGTTCAATAAGGTAGACAGTGAAAAGTCATCTCCATCCTATCCCTGCACCTCAGGCTCCTGGTTCCTCTCCCCAGAAGCAACCACTGTTACTGGTGTCTTGAGTGTCCCTCCCCCCGACCCCCGAATGGTAGTCTTCTGTACACTGTTGTATAACTTTTTATTTAACCAAGTGCTTATTGGTGGACGTTAAAGTTGTTTCCTATATTTTACTTATATAAACAATGCTGCAATAAATATCATTAATATATGTGTTTGTGCAAGTGTATCTATAAAATTTCTAGAAATGGAATTGTAAGGTCAAAAATAAGCATTTTAAAATATAGTGGATATTATCAAATCTCCTTTTAAGGAAGTTCTACTCATTTGTAATCTTATTAAAGTGTCTGCACCGTATCTTGTCTTTTTAAATGCAGTGGGCTTTGATCCTTCTTTCTGCTTCTCTGTTGTGCCCAGGTTCCTACCACCAGCCCCTCCAGCCCTGGGCCTCAGGAACCAGAGAAGGGGGAGAGGAGGATCCGGGCTGTGCCTCCCGTGGCTGTGGCCCTGAAGCCTGTATTGCAGCAGAGCCGGGAAGCAAGGGACGAGCTGCCTGGAGTGCCGCCTGTTCTCTGCAGCTCTTCCCCAGATCTTAGCCTTCTGCTGGGCCCCACTTTCCAGAGCCAACATTCCTTCCAGCCCCTGGAGCCAAAGCCAGATCTTACTTCATCCTCAGGTCAATGGGGACAGAAGTCACTGGGGTTCCCATGCACTAATTGGCTCCCTCTTAGCTAGCTTCCTTTCTATCTGGGACTTGAGTGTGTATTTAGTTTTTCAGATGCCTTAGTGATTATAAGTTGCAAGGAGCAGAAATCTACTCCACTTGGTTCAAATAAAGGGAGGGAGATCTCGTGGAAATGTGATGTAGCTGGACTTAATGAGACCTGGAATTGGTGTCCAGGGGCGCTATCAGGAACTGAGGCAGCTGTTCCTCCCCTCTTTGGGCCTGCATGGGCTCTTGACTCTGCCTCTTCCTGCATATCTGTTCCTTTCTCTTGGTAGACCAGCACTCTCTCTCATTAAGGTTCTTACTCTCATAACTTTGGCTTGCACATGAGTTTGACCAGCCATGACACTGACTCCAGCCAAGACAACCTTATAGAGCCATTGGTACCTCAGTTTCTTAGGTCCAGTTTAAAGAGAGGTTATCTGATGGGTTGGCAACCATCCCTTCGATTGGCTGACCTTGGGTGTGGTGGCCACCGCTGGTTTAGGCAGCTGTGACTTGAGTGGATGGGGTGCTCTGCGTGGTGCAAACGTGACAACCCACGTTGAATTAAGAATGAGGGATGAATTATATTCCAATTTTAAATTTAAAAATTATGTAATAATAAAAAAAGAATGAGGGCATGTTCTGGTTAAGGATCTAGAATGTGTCTATTAATCCTATCCATTCTGGATATTGGTTTCTGTCTGTAAGGAGTTCATGGTGGTACCATTTATTTAGAGTCTGAGAATCACAGCTCTCCCCTTTGGTCTACAGTTCTGTCTTAGAATTCAGCTGTGCCATCTCGGTCACCTTCAACCCTTCCCTCTCCAGCTGTTTTTTAAGCTTTCATTGTCTCCTCCTCCTGGCTGTGATGTCCCTCTTATATTCAATAGGCCCCTATCTTCTGGGCATGTGGCAAGTTGATTTGTGGAGGAACCCCCTCCCCCTACAGCACACAACACACACCCCTGTTTCACTTTACAGCTGGGGCCTTCTCTGCAGTTGGGGGCTTCCATCCCGATCACAGGGCAGAACGGCCATTCCCTGACGAAGATCCTGGATCTGATGGGGATGGCTTCCTAAAGCAAGGGCTGCCACCTCCTTCTCAGCTGGAGGGCCTCAAGCATTTTTTGCACCAAGTAAGAGTGGACCCACCCATCCCACCTTATTTTCTTCTTCCTACTGGAGGAGTCCAAGACCCTGGCTTCATCCACCTTCTAAGACTAATGCTTTGTCCCAGCTTCTTCCTATCCCAATCTGTCTTATTCCTATCTCATAAGTCCCTTCTGGAACTTAGGCAACCAACCCTAGGTCTTACTTCCCTAGCCTCTGCTTCCCTCACATATCTAGGTCTCCTTTATTGGTCCTCAGGGAACCTTACTATCTTGTAGTATCTTTCTATCTTCAACCTTACTGTCTTCCCCCAGCTGCTGGAGACAGTACCCCAGAACAACGAGAACTCATCTGTTGACCTGTTGCCCCCTAAGTCTGGTAAGTGCCAACTCCAAAGAAGGTTGGGGCTAGGTCTGGAAAAGGTGGGAGTTGGTTATCTGGGATGGATTTTTGGGAGCTGGCAAAGGTGATAAAGAAGGTTGATGGTAGGACTAAGCCTAATGAAGGCTAGTGGTAAGACTTCCTTGGCTCTTTGCCCCATTTCCTGATCTTGGATCTGTTTCCTTTTGCTAGGTCCTCTGACTGTTCCATCTTGGGAGGAAGCCCCTCAAGTGCCACGCCTGCCACCCCCTGTCCATAAAACTAAAGTGCCCTTAGCCATGGCATCTAGTCTTTTCCGGGTCCATGAACTTCCCTCAACCCATTCACAGAGCACTGGTCCAAGTGGTGGCTCCCCAGAGAGAGGTAAGCAGGTCATGGTTTACCGGGAAATAAGGGGGGAAGGTTTAGGTCTGGAACTGAAGGCCCTTCTAGATTCCTAGGGAGATGGGCTGAGGGCTGAGGAGAGGGGTCCTAGGATGACGACTGTTACCCATATGTCTCAGGTGGAGATGGGCTCGCATCCTCGAGGCAGCTGATGGAGGTGTCTCAGCTATTACGACTATACCAAGCTCGGGGCTGGGGGGCACTGCCTGCTGAGGATCTGCTGCTCTACCTGAAGAGGCTGGAACACAGCAGGTACCAGCCTGGGAGGGAAAGAAGGATGGGTTAGTGGATGGAATCTGAATTGTGGGCAGGGACATGGGTCAGGTAGGGAAGAGAGGGGTGTGTCTTGTCCACTTAGTAGCATCTTTTGTCCTTTTCTGGGGAAGAGTGTGAGGGTGAGATGTAGATCAAGTCTCCTTCTCTTCCTCCGTCTCTCACTGCTCCCCACCTTTCTTCTGTCTCTTCTTTCTACTTTCTGTTTTTTTATTCGCTTCTAAAAGAAAATCTCTTCTCCATGTCTTTCTACCTTAGTTTTTTCCTCTTCACCCTGCTGCTCAGAACTCAGAATCCTAGGATTGTGACCACCTAGTGTAACTCAGTATTTGATTCTTCTAATGTCTACTCCTATTTGACCCCCAGGTCTATCTTGTTTGTTCTTGTTCTTGAGAGACAGAACTGGGGAGTAGTTCTTCCATCCAGTGTTGGGGAGTGGGGGGAGCAGTGCCCCCATCCTCATCCCTCGATTTGTACGGCAGGGCTGACAGCCAAGGCGATAATGTCCCCAGAAGGAATACAGACTCCCGCTTGGGTGAAATCCCTCGGAAAGAGGTGAGGGAAAGGAGGGAGGGCAGGGCTGATGAGGGTGGAAGGGCTCTCACTGACTTGTTCCTCCAACCCTGCGCACTCCCTGGCTGGCTCCATTCTCTATTGCCTCACCCCTCCCATCCCTGTTCCCATTTTCTGTAGCATGGTCTTTCCCCCTTGCCGAGTGATTCTGGCCCTCTCCATGCACGACGCCTTTCCTCGGTGGGGCAGGGGATTGAGAGGACACGACGCTGACTTTCTCGTCTCTTTTCCCACAACCCTCAGATTCCCTCCCAGGCTCTCCCTCGCCGCCTTGCTACAGCCCCTAAGACTGAAAAACCTCCAGCACGCAAGAAGAGTGGGCACCCTGCCCCTAGTAGCGTGAGGAGTCGGGGGGGAGTCTGGAGATGAGCAACTTGCCCTTTCTCCTCTTCTTTCTTCTTGTCTTGTTCTTATTTTAATAAATGCTCAATAGTCTGTATTAGAGTCTCTGACTCAGAAATTTGGCAAATTGAGGTTTTGTAGGAAACTACTTTGTAAAGAAAATTCATTTTATTCTGTTTGTGTATGTTTTTTATATATGTTTCTATTTTATATTCTGTAGAAAAAGATATGAATGCTCTGAAAGAAGACTGTCTCTGGCTGGGTTTGAGAGGTTTTAGTGAGCTGAGATTCAGTGTTCCAAGAGGAAAACCTACAGAGTGATTAGCTCTGGTTGGTTGTGGAATTATGGATAGTTTCTTGTTTTCTTTTTTATACGTTTCTGTATTTTCCAGATTTTCTAAAACAAGTATGAATAATCAGAAAAAACAAACTTTTAATAAAAGAATAAGTTATTATATAGTTTGAGTCAAAATTTGATTGTTGGGGAGACAGTTTTCTCTTTTAAGAGCAGATAATTCTTTCAGATTGCATTAGTAGGATTCTGATTGACAGATTCTGCTCCAGCCAGCAGACATATTATGGCTGTAATCCTCACTCTTATGGCTTTAAAACATGTATAAGAGACTAGAGTGCTGGCAAGGAAAAAAAGCCATGATTACAAAAACTTCCATCTTAATACTCACCAAAATGAACAAAGAGAAACAATATTAGATAAAAAAAATGACATCTACACGAAACTAAGCAAGGTGCCAACTTCATGGTACAAACACTGAAGAGCAGTACAATTTAGATTGAACAGAAGGACAGTGCTCTGGGACCCACACACAGCTTTCCAGCTCTGGAGCACAGTGCAGGGTGGTGATGATGGTAAATACAGTTCTGAAGGGCCTGGACCTAGGTGGGTGTTTAAGGGACTGAGTTTACTAGATTCTCTGAGGAGGGTGAGGCCCCTTTTTTTTTTTTTCTGAGGAAGATTCACCCTAAGCTAACATCTGTTGCCAATCTTCCTCTTTTTGCTTGAGGAAGAGTCGCCCTGAGCTAACATCTGTGCCAGTCTTCCTCTATTTTGTGTATGGGTCACCGCCACAGCATGGCCGCTGACAAGTGGTGTAGGTCTATGCCAGGGAACCAAACCCGGGCCACCGAAGCAGAGCGTGCTGAACTTAACTACTAGGCCATGGGGCCGGTCCCGGAGGCCCTTCTGTTTGCCCCTGAATTATTTTCTTAGCTCCAAAATAGACATAATAGGATATAGACTCATACAATGTTTCTTATTAATAAATGTTGAGGTCTTATTTCTTCTACCTAAAGGTAACTTTCCAGCTCTTGGGGGAGGGGAAAAGGAAGAAAAGCTAAACACACAGGAGCAGCAGGTGTGCATGTTCTCCTGTCCCAACTCTGGCCAGGACGGCTGATCATCAGTCTTGTTCGGGACTGCTCTCTCTGGCCAAGAAAGCGAAGGCAGACTTGTGCAGGAGTCACCAGGCTCAGGGGGCTTTGCAGGCCCTGTCTCTTTACCCACCTATGGAAATGTTTGCTTTTCTGTTTTTTACCTCAAGTGCATAAAATTGATTTGACCAAACTCTGTGATTTATGGCACACTGTCATCATTGATAACAGATCGTTTTATGCCCTTTTTAAAAGCTGGTAAAATGAACACCCAGTCTTATCTCGTTATCTCTTGGGTTCCACGCTGCCACCTTCAGTGACCATGCCCTACATTTTTCTTGACATAAAGGACATTCTGGAGAATATTTCCCAACTCTCTAAAACAAAATCAGAAAAGGGCACAGTGCTGACTTAACCATTTTGTGAGCTAATTATAGTAAGACAACTTTGACTTTTTAAAAGTATATTGTACCCACATTAAAAGTGTTTCTTCACTGAAGACCACCAGGCAGGCTGGGGAGGAGGAGAAAACTCACAGTCAAGCAGCCCCCCACTTTTTCCCTCCATAATCATCTTGGGAATATTCGGGGGTGGGGAATGAAAGATTTTGGGAGCTCTATAAAAGCCCACATGCAGAGGAGGTGGGTGCAACCTTTAAGCTCAGGTTTCGCTTGGTAGAGAGAGGGTATACTATGGGATTTTGTCTCCTGAGAACTCCCACAGCCTCTTAGGGTTGGGGCGGGGGAGGTTCTCGTGATGGAATATATGAGAGTGAAGGCTAAGTGCTATAACAAAGAAACCCAATGGGACAGTGGCTTTGGGCAAAGTTTATTTCCCTGGTAATAGTCCAGAGCAGTGGGGTGGTCCTGCTCCACATGGTCGTCTAGGGTCTGAGGCTCCTTCCATCTTGTTGCTCTGCTGCCCCTTAGATCGGTGTCATTATTTGTGTGGTTGAAGCAAGATCATTGTCATGTAGGACTCCCAGCTGGCAAGAAAGGGAAAGAGCCATATATCTTAAGCCAGTATCTTAAGACCCACATTTGGAAATGCCACACATCAGTTTTGCTCATGTTTCGTCAGCAAGACCTTGGTCACATGGCCACATCTGACGGCAAGAGAGACTCGGAAATGTAGCCTAGCTGGCTGCCATGTATGCAGCTGTAACTCTATTACTACGCAAGAACTAAGGAGGAAGGAGAGAATGGATTTTGGTGGACAACTAGCAGTCTGCCCTACAGAGAGCGGGACCTCCTTTCAAGAAATTGAAAACTAATAATTGCTGAGACAACCCCTGCCAGTAATCAGTATTGACTAACTGTGCAGATAATGAAAAAATGCACTGGACATATGTAAATGAGTCCAAGTATATCAAGTGTTGCTGGGGGCGTGGAGCTATAAGAACTCTATTTATGCTCTGCTGGTGGCAGACTAGGGGAGGACAAGAAGACCACTTTGGGAGACATTTTGGCATTATCTGGTAAACGTGGTGATGCCCACACTCTGTGACACAGTGACTCCATCCCTGAAGATGTGCCCTAGAAAAATTCTTGCCTTTGTGTGCACCAAGAGACAAGTAAAGGAATGTCAGAGCAAAAACTTGCAAACAATCGAATGTCTATCAACAGTGGTAGATTCATGTAATGAAATACCACACAGCAGTACAAATGGACGAGCTAAAGTTACGTGCATCAATATGGATGAATTTCACAGACATGATGTTGAGGGAAAAAGCAGATTGCAGAAGAAAATATACAGTACAGTATACAGTACACTATTTATGTAAAGTTTGAAAACAAGCACAGGGCAGTCCAGTCCAGCGTGGGGTGTTGGAGCCTGAGTGAGGTGAGGAGGGGGCCCTCGCAGTGGGTGGCCTGGCTGTGTTGGAGGTGAGGAGCAAGTCCATTCGGCAGGATGGGCTGGCGAGGTATTAGAGCATGGGTGGGGTGAGACAGGGCCTCTGTGTGAGGGAGGGAGTGGTGGGAGACTGTCGCATATGGGGGATTGATCAAACATGTAAATATATTATGAAAAATGGGAGCTAGGTTTCTCACTATTGGAGAAAGGATTTACAGATATGGAAAGGGAGAAAACTAGAATGAATTCTGTGATGTTGGGTTAGAATTGAATGCATCGGTGTAAACTTCTGGTCTTATATATATATATATATATACACAAGTCAAGATATGGAAATACATATAGCTGTAAATTGATGTATTATGTACATTCACATATTCCCTAGCAACACCCCTGTATTAGTTTCCTAGGACTGCTGTAATAAATTACCACAAACTGGGTGACTGGGTGACTAATGCAACAGAAATTTATTCTCACAGTTCTGGAGGCTAGAAGTCTGAAATTAAGGTGTTGGCAGAGCCATGCTCTCTGAAGGCTCTAGGAGAGGATACTTGCTTGCCTCCTCCTAGCTCCCACCGGTGGTTACCAGTGATCCTTGACATCCCTTGATTTGTAGACACGTCACTCCAACCTCTGCCTCCATTGTCACATAGGGTGCTCTCTGTCTGTCCCCCTGTGTCTTCATTGGATTTGGACCCACCCTAATCCAGTATGACCTCATCTTAACTGATTACATCTGCAAAGACCCTATTTCTAAATAAGGTCATATTCAGAGGTACTGGGGGTTAGGATTTCAACATATCTTCTGGGGGGATACAATTCAACCCATAATAACCCCATTAACAATGAGCACACCTAGCATGCAGCTCTTGTCTTCTAAATACCATTTTCTACTAAAAAGAAAGCAGGGTTCCTTGGAGAAATGGCTGATTCAAGGTCTAGATCAGGGAAAGTACAAGATAAACCTGGAAAATCTTGAGGTAAAAAGTAAGGATGTGCTCAAAGACAGTGGGGACACGGCAAAGGAACGCAGAAGCTGGCTTGAGGGTTCTACTGGCCCTACAATTTGAGCCTCAAAATAAATAATGATAGTAAGGGATTATAATCCATTGAATAAAACAAGAAATCATGAATCTATATGAATATAAATAAACTAATAAGTTGAAAGTTTGATGAGGTACAAGATATTTACATAGTTTGAAAGTATGTCCCACAAAATACTAATTACAATGGGGAAAAGTGTAACTTTACTGTGGAGAATTCTGGGTGAACCACCTTAATCAAGTGATGGAAGTCAACATCATCAGTGATGGGTCACATCTAAATCCGGCGCCCCCTGATAGATGCAAGGAGAGTACAGCGTCTGTGAGATTCCTTCCAAAGATCCATGGCCTGCATTTAACCATGAAGAAACGTCAGACAAACTCAAACTGATGACGCTCTTAAAATTATTGGCCTGTAATTTTCAAAATTGTCAAGATCTTGAAAGTCAAGAAAAGACAGAGGAAATATTCTAGACCAAAGTTGACTACCAAGACGTGAAAACTAAATGAAGCATGTGATTCTGAACTGGACCACTTGCTATAGAGAACTTTATTGAGACAACTGGGGAAATTTGAAAAGAATTTGAGTATTAGATGGTAGCAATGGATGAATGTTAATTTCCTGACTTTGACATTTGTATTGTGGTTATGTAGGAGAATCTCCTTGTTTGCAGGAAACAAGACAATAAAGCATTTGGAGGTGATGAGGCTTCCTGTTGGCAACTTGCTCTCAAATGGTTCAGGGGAGAAAAAAGTTATTTGTACAGTACTTGCAACTTTTCTGTAAAGCTTGAAATTATTTTTTAAAAACCAATATGTTCATAGCCAACAAAATAATTTTTTTGTGTGTGAGGAAGATCAGCCCTGAACTAACATCCGATGCCAATCCTCCTCTTTTTTGCTGAGGAAGATTGGCCCTGGGCTAACATCCGTGCCGATCTTCCTCTACTTTTTTATATGGGACGCCGCCACAGCATGGCCTGACAAGTGGTGCGTGGGTGCACACCGGGGATCTGAACCGGTGAACCCTGGGCCGCTGAAGCAGAGTGCGCACACTTGACCCCTGCACCACCGGGCCTGCCCCAAAATGAATTTTTTATTTTTATTTATTTAATTTTTTTGTGAGGAAGATCAGCCCTGAGCTAACATCCATGCCAATCCTCCTCTTTTTGCTGAGGAAGACCGGCCCTGGGCTAACATCCGTGCCTATGTTCTTCCACTTTATATGGGATGCTGCCACAGCATGGCCTGACGAGCGGTGCCTCGGTGCCCGCCTGGGATCCCAACCCGGGCCGCCAGCATCGGAGAGCTGCACTTAACCGCTATGTCATGGGGCAGGCACCCAAAATAAATTTTTTAAATACCATTTATGTAGCATCAAATACCTAGGGAGAAATCTAATAAAAGATAAGCAAAACTTCTATTAGGAAAAAACTGGGGCGAAAATAAACCTTATACTATTTAGAAATACCTATGTTATGTGATAAAACTAAAAAGAAAAGCAAGGAAACAATATACACCAAATTCAGACAGTGGTAACCCCTGGGGTGGGCAAGGAAGCGATGTGATGGGGAGGACACACCGGAGCTTCAGGGTGTAGGTGATATTCCATTTCTTCAACTGGCTGGTGATTACAGTTTTTGTTATTGTGCTTTATAATTTATACACATATATTTCATATATTGTTTATTGTATATCAAATATTTCATAGTAAGGAAGAAAAATACATGCAATATTATTATTGCATTTATATCAGAAAAATAAACTATGGGGGCCAGCCCAGTGGCGCAAGCAGTTAAGTGCGCGCGCTCCACTGTGGTGGCCCGGGATTCGCCGGTTCAGATCCCGGGCGCACACCGACGCACTGCCTGGCAAGCCATGCTGTGGCGGCGTCCCATATAAAGAGGAGGAAGATGAGCACGGATGTTAGCCTAGGGCCAGTCTTCCTCCGCAAAAAAAGAGGAGGATTAGCAGATGTTAGCACAGGGCTGATCGCCTCACGAAAAAAGAATAAATAAATAAACTATGTGTATATAACTATATGTAAACCTATGTGGGCATAAGTGTTTATAAAATGCATAGAGAAAGGAATAGAAAGAGACCCACTCACAAAAACAAAATGCCTTAGACAAATTTATGTTGAGCACATGTCAAATTTTATTAAGTAGCTGCCAAGGGAAAACAGTAAGGAAAAAAGTATGCAGCTCAGTGGAAAGTTGCTACTGTGAGATGGCAGGAAATGCTCCGACAGAGCCTAGAGAACTTCTGACATCAAAATAAGAGAGGGCAGGCTTTGGAATAAAGAAAGATAAAGATGTCTGACAGTTGAAAAACATCTGTAATGCTCTGTAATTCATGTTCTCTATAAATCTTCAAATTATCTCACTAGTAGCATCTTAAAGTGTATGGTTCTTTTTGTTTTGATACCAAACAAAGCATTACATTTAAAATGTAAATGTTTGAAATGTACCACAACTTTTGTACTTAAAGAGGAAAAACTCGGGTTTTTCCTTCCTGTGTAGGGGAAAACCCAGTTCCTTCCTACTGTGTTTCTTCCCTGTGAGTCTCCTTTACTACTCACAGAAAACGCTTCACTTCTGGTCACCAATGTGGTGGGGAGGGAGTTCCCCACACCAAGCAATTTCTGTGACACCAGCTGGGTGTCCTACAATTTAACTCAATTCTGACACTATCTACCCAGAGATAGCGTCAGATCCCAAGGGTTAAGGGCTCAGTCCCACAAGACTGTCTCCACCCCACATCAGATGCCAATCACAAGTAACAGATCCCCAGGTTACCCACAACTTCTGTCTGATTTGGCTACAAATTGGAGCGTCCCATGACTTCCTCCTCAGGTTTGATTAATTTGCTAGAGCAGCTCACAGAACTCAGGGAAACACTTACGTTTCCCAGTTTATTAAAGGATATGATAAAGGAGACAGAAGAACAGCCAGATGAAGAGATACCTAGGGTCAGGTCTGGGAGGGTCCTGAGCCCAGAAGCTTCTGTCCCTGTGGAGTTGGAGTGTGTCACCTTCCCACTGTGGGTGTGTTTGCCAACCTGGAAGCTCTCCCAACCCCATACTATTGGGATTTTTATGGGGGCTTCCTTATATAGGTATGATTGATCATTAAGTCCATTTTCAGCCTTTGTCTCCTCTCAAGAGAATGGGGGTGGGAGACTGAAAATTCCAAGCTTCTAATTATGGCTTGGTCTTTCCCATGACCAGCCCTCATCCAGGAGCCCACCCAGAGTCACTTCATTAGAGCAAAAGACACTCCTATCACTCAGGAAATTACAAGGGTTTCAGAAGGCTTGTGTCAGGAACTAGGGGTAGAGACCAATATATATTTTTCTATTATCTCCCAGTAATTCTTTGTGGCATTTTTTCTTTTGCTATATCAGGAGCCACAACAACAACAAAAAAAGGAAGTGGCCTGGGCCCCCTTTGTCCTCTGAGCTGCTCTCACTAGAAGAATTTTCATTTTTCATTTGGTACCACTTTTTTCTGTTTGAATTTTATTTTTACCATGTACATAGATTTCTTTTAAAATTCTAATCTAATAATAATACCTAATAGTCAAGAGTTGGTGAACAAAACGTCTCACGGTATCTGTGCTGAAATGATTTAAGGCTGGCTCCAGGCTCTAAAGCCAGGATTTCCAACCACGCGGTTTGGCCTCAGCACTGGTGGCTGTAGTTGTGCCACATCAGTGTGGGAAGTCAGTGCTGCTGATGTTGATAACAATTTATCACCACTGCCTTCTGGGCTGACTGGGGAAGAACGACCAACGGCCACAAATTGAGTGCTGGTGTGCAGCATAAGAGTAAGGCTTCTTTTGCACCGGTGGGTCTTTGGTGAGGGCAAATATGGAACATGAATATTTATAGGTTGTATTAGGTTCTCCAGAGAAAAGGAACCGACAGGATGTGTGTGTGTGTGTATGTATGTGTATATATAAAGGGAGAGAGACTTATTTTAAGGAGTTGGCTCACGTGATTGGGGAGGCTTGGCTAGTCCAAAATCTGTAGGGTAGGCTGGCAGGCTGGAGACTCAGGGAAGAGCTGCAATTGGAGTCGCAAAGGCCATCTGCTGGCAGAAATATTTCTTGCCTGGGGAGGTCAGTCTTTCTATTCAGACCTTCAACTGATTGGATGAGCCCACCGACATTATGGAGAGCAATCTGCTTTACTCAGTCTGCTTTACTTTGAATGTTAATCTCATCTTAAAAATACCTTCACAGCAACATCTAGAATAATGTTTGACCAAATATCTGAGTACCGTGGCCTAGCCACATTGATACATAAAATTAACCAACACATAGATTATGAAGCAAAAGATGCTTTTCATTCTTGATCAGCTGATCATAGAAAATCTCCCATAAGCTGTTGGCTCAGGGGGTGGCAGCATGCCAGATTCAGGTTCAGTCCCCATTATAAGTCATCCTCGACTTTTTAATGTGTATCTTATAGACCACCATTTGTAATTTATACACTGAGACCCCAAAACTGCCTTTTTAGCCTGGATTTGGGCTTTTGTACATCAGCAAATTAACCAACATTTCAAGTTGTCTTATGGTAGCCATAGAGAGGTGTTAATTTGTGTATGTTTGAATAATTTATCACTTTTTATTTTAAAAAAGAGTAGAAAACAGAAAAGCACAACTGCCAATTTTATCAAGAAAACAATTGACACAAATATGGAGAACATTCTTGAGTCCAAAGGAGCAAACTGCAGCTTTAAATGGGCTTCTATGGGACTTAAGCTTAAGACGTGAGTTTCTTGTCACTAATGCTCAGGATTGAACTGCTTGTTTCTATGTCTGCTGCTCCCACTAGATCCTAAGCAGCTTGAGAACAGGGCCTGTGTTCCTCAGCTTTATCTTCCAGAACTTGTTACTGAACCAGGCCCGTTTTGCCCACAGCACGGTATGCCAATCACCGGGGTGACAAGTTTTGCAGCAGAGAAAGGGTTTATTCACAAGGCAGCCAAGCGAGGAGACAAGAGAACAAGCCTGAAATCCACCTCCCTGAAAATGGGGATTAGGGATATTTGTGGGATAAAGGGTAGGGTGGTCTGAAGTGGGGGGATGGATGATTGGAGGTACAGAGAAGTGAGGTAATTGATGGTCTGTGCAAGCGTAGTCAAGCTTCATGGCTCTTCATAGGACTCGTGTACAAAATGGTGGCGTTAGCATGATCTGAGGGTGCGGTTTTCAGCCACCCTGATGTCAAAGGGTCACCTATCGGACACTTGCTTAGGCCCAGTTGATGGGTCAGTGGTCTTAACCAGCTTGAACTGGACAAGGAGTTGACTCTCAGTTCCTGAAAAACAACTTAAGCAACCATTACCCTGGTGACCCAAGCATCAGAGATGTTATCTATGAGGAACCTTGTGGGAGTCTGATGATATCTTGCTTATCTACATGAATTTTAAGAATAATCTTTAATGGCTATCTGGCCGTCCGTTTCAGATTCTAGCACACAGCCTGGCAGAGAGTATTTGCTCAATTGATGTTAGTGACTGGAGTTTTAAAATTTTTATTTTCACTTATAAAGCTTGCTCATTGTAGAAGGTTTACAAAACAAAATTATAAATAAGAAAACAGAAGTCACCTGAAATTCTATCACCCAGAAAATCACATTTTCTTCCAATTTCTAATGCACATTCCAGAGACCTCTTTGGAGCTGATGATTCTCCTTGGAATTTCCACGTCCCTCTCTGCGCAGGGAATTCAGTCAGCTGCTCCTGGCCCTCTGGGCTGAGGGAAACTGGGAGGCTCCCAAGACCTCTGTTGCTCTGTCACAGCCTGGGCCACAGGGACTTCTGTGATGCCTCTGCTCCAGGTTCCTGGGACTGAGCACACCATTCTGTCATTTCTGTTCTGGGTCTTTCTCCACCTTGGCCTCCACCCCCAGCATCCTCAAACTTCTCTGAAATTCCTGATTCTGTCCCCCCACCTTGGGGTTCAACCTGGTGTTGGGGCGAGGGTGGAGTGCATTCCGCACACACTCACCTCCTCTCTTTCTCCGCTCAGTCTTTTCCTGACTTGGGAGTGAAAAGTCTAGTTACATCCCATTTGCCAGAATCCTTCCTGTTTCCCACAAGGCCTCGACTCTGGAAATTTAAAAGCCAGCAAAAGACTTTCTTTTTCTTCTGCCTTCAGGTAGAGTCACCCTTTCCCTGAGGCAGTGAATACAGAATACTTGGAAGAGTGAATGAGGAAAGGGTTATGGTGTAACAGGAAAAATTGGGAAAATGTAGGCAATATTTCAAAATATTGTTTATCTATGCAAGTGAATGGATCCAAATTATACCACAATGGCATAAAAATTATTTTGAGCTGAAGACATTTGAGAATCAACAGACGCAGAAAGAGGCTTTTTCTGAACCCTCCCTTATCTGACTAAAAGCAGGAACTTCTGGGACTGGGACTGCCATAAATCTCCTCCCCTGGGCAGCTTCATTCCCAGGAGACCAAGAGCGACATTACCATAAATCCCCTCCTGGGGGAGTTTCGTGACGTTGAAGAAGACAAAAAAGACCACTGCACCTACATAAACATTACCACAAACTACCTTATCTCCCATTTTGTTCCCATAAAAGCTCATTTGTTTTTCCTAAAGTAACCCATCTGTTCTTCTAGTAGAGGCTCTTTTCTCCCCTCTCCGTTTCCCCTATTTGGTTAGGTATATAAACCCCTGTCTTTAATCATTGAGCCAAGCTACTTTCTTTGTGAGCTCCCACATTCATACATGAATAAACTTTGTCTTTTCTCTTGCTAATCTGTCCTTTGTCAGTTTAACTCACAGGCCCCCCAAACTGAACCTAAGAGGATGGAGGAAAAGTTTTTCGTCCTCAACACAAGCAATAATTTTAGAATCTTCTTCAAGTTTTAGGTAGAATTTAGGGACTCCAGCTCCCGCAGAGGGATTCTAGTCTTAGACCTTCCACCGCAGTAGAGCAGATCCTATCAAACCTCCTAATAATTTTCACTGTATGAGCTTGTTTGCTTAAAGCTGAGGAAGAAAAGTCACAAAGGAGGCCTAGGGTTTCAGGCAGCACTGAGCCCAATCAGCCCGAGGATTCAATTATAATCCTAGAAAAAGAGAACACTAGGGGAAATGTTTGCACGCATACCCTGTATCTCCAGGGCCAAAGACAACGCAGTATTACATCTGCTTTTTCCAGTGCTTATCCACTTTTGTTTGCTACATAATTGGACTCCCACTTGTGCATACTGTTTTGCACCTTTAACTTATTTATTAATTAAATATAAGTTTACATTGTGAATATGAACATTTTTTCAGGCTATTAAGCGTTCTCATACATCCTAAGTACTGATGGCTTTAGAATATTATATTACATAGATGTACCATAATTGTCTATAATCAGTCCCCTAGTTTTGGACGGCAAGGTTTTGTCTAAAGGTTTTGATATGATACAATTTCGTTGCATTGAACATCTCTGTACAGAAATCTTTGTGCTAGGATCCCAGATTATTTCCTTAAGGTAATTTCCTAGAAGTAGAATTAAAGTAGGTTAAAGAGATGCATCATTTTTGCTTTTCTTTTTATTGAGATGTAGCTTACATAAAGTATGTAAATCTCAAGCTTGATGAAATTTTACATGCGTAAACACCCAAGCAGACGCTGTGCAGACCAGAATAGACCATTTCCATTTCCATCACCCGGAAAGCCTCCTCGTGCCCCCTCCCAGTCAATGCTCACGCACTCCCCAGCAATAGCCACTACTACCACCACCAATGAATATTTTTGCCTGTTCTTGGACTTCATATAAATAGAATCATCAATATGTACTTTTATGACTGACTTCTTTGTCTCGATGTCTGTGAGATTCATCCATATTGCACATATCAGTCATTTGTTCTTTTTTTCCTGCAGTATAGTATTCTGTCGTTTGAATATACCAAATTTATCCATTCTCCTTTAATAGACATTTGGGTTGTTTCCAGTTTGGGGATGTTACAAATAAGGCTGGGGTGAACATTCTCATACATTTTTTGGTGGACGTGTGCACTTATTCCTGTTGAGTATATACCTAGGAATGGAATTGCTGGTGGGTCTGTTTAGATTTAGTAGATAACTGTCAAATGGTTTTTCCAAAGTGGTTGACCAGTTTACACACCTACTAGTAATGTGTGTGAGTCCCAGTTACTCCCTATCCTCACCAGCATTCGGTATTGTCAATCTTTTTCATTTTAGCAATTCCGGTGGGTGTGAAGTGGTATCTCATTGTGGTTTTAATTTGGATATGCACATTTTTATTATGAAAGTAACGTATTTATATATATGAGAAAGTATGAGAAAGAAGAAACTAAAAATCATTCATATCCTACCATCCTCTTCCCTCCCCCTTCGACTTTATTAAATTTGGGATATGTACATATGATTTTAAGGTTGTACTTCTTTATACTTCCATTAAAAATGCATGGAATGTACCCCTTTTTTTCTGAACTGGCATTATTTTTTAAGTTGTCAATTTGTTATTTTGGTGTCTCATTATGGTTTTATTTAGCATTTCTTTTTTTTCCTAGTGAGGTTGGGCTTTAAAAAAATTTTGTTGCTATTTATATTACCTTTTTTGTAAATTGTTTCATTCCTTTGATGAAATAGATTTTTTA